ACGTGGATACTCCTTTTCATTGGTTGTTGTTGACCATTGTCGTTTTTACTTGTTATAATTATTCAAAACTCGCTTTCCATTACTGGTTTTGGTTCTACACAAGATCATTTTTTTTATTCCTATTGACCAAGGTTGACATTGCTTAACTTCACTGATCGTGCGAGAACCGTTATTTCAATGTGTTATGCCCGTAAGCCATTTGAATCGAACAATCACAGCATGTACAGTATTGGAACTTTTAGACACCATATTGTGTATATGAAACGCTAATCTCTACATGTTCGTGAGAGTACAAGAATATACACAGAAATATTCTCTTGTTTGTTAATCAAATCCTGAATCTGTAGATTACGTTTTACAGGATTATTTTATTAATTCGGTAAAAAAAAAACTAAAAAAAAAAAAACACGCTCAAACGAGATTAACGATGGCGCTTTCAACCTTGATCAGATTCGAATAAACCGTTTATCGGATCGATAAGTAGAAATCAAAGGAATTACCGCCTTTTGCTTGAGATTTGTCTGTGATTTTATTTCAGCGGAAATAGCACCGGCAACATGCAATCTTGATAAGGATTTCCCTGGTAGCTTTACTTTCTGGATGAGAAAGTTCCATATGAATTTCCTCAGTTAATATGAATACTATGCATTATCATTAAATAATTCCGTGCAACCAATTTCTCAGAATAAGGGTTAAGAATAACTTCGAGAGAATAAAGAGTGTGGGTCTTAGCGTGGACCATCCTTCTTCCAATCTTGTGGGCTGGTGCTATAGAATCCCAAGGAACAGCACCAAATAACAAAAAATCTGATAACTTTCAAAAACAGCAACAACTAAAACAGAGAGAGGTTCGTTTTTTTACGGCTTATCAACCCTTTGCAAGTTACTTAAAGTCAGAAAATATTTTTAGATTGTAAGATTTTTTTAAATCTTTTGGGAGTTAATAATTTTTTTAGGGATACAAGTCTTATTAATTAACCCATAGATGGAGGAGAAGAGGTGGATTCATGCTTTTCTCTAGGGTATTTGCGAATGAGTGAATATGACGAACACAACAAGAATTTGATCTTGGCTCTCAGATTAACAATTCCAATCCATTACACCACCCTCACCTCCATGCTTACAGCACCTGGTATTCCGAAACGGTCACTTATTAGGATTGACGTTGCTTATCTTCGGGGATCGTACAGGAACCGGTATTCAAACATGATGTGGCCGTAAATTAAATGGATAGCACATGTAAATCGAAAAGAAAATAATCACATAATCAGGATGGTAATGTTCAACACTCTTCCAAACAAAAGGTTAGGAAGGAAGTCACCATCGGTACTGGTAAGAGCGATAAGAGTTACTGGACTTGAAAAACCTATTTTTCTGAAAAATTGTTTTAATAGAAAGACTATAAATTTCAACCGAATGTACCACTAGCATGCTCTGTGAGGAAACAACCTATATTACCTTTGCTATTATTCGGCAATGTATATATATTTATAGACCAGGTTTCATTGAGGTATTTTTGTAAAGAGGTTTTTTTATCGAGAGTCAAATGTATTAGTAGTAATATTTTTTTGAAAAATGTATTGTTGGTAATATTTTTTTTCAAAAATTTATTGCTGGTATTTTTGCTATAAAAATCTGTTTTTATACTTTCATAGTGTTTTGACTCCAGTTTTGGGGGTTAACTATTTGCCCATAGTTGTGAGGCCATCAGGTGCTACCACCCCAGTGTCTTTCAGGGACCGGTAGAGTAAAATCCTTGTTACATTCAGAACTGTATGCAATCAGCTCTGGATAATTCAAAGAACAATTATGCAAAAGCCAAAGTTAAAAACAAAAGACTTGGCCATTGCGAGTTTTGAGAAATCCCTTAACAATAGAAGCATCAGTTCCATTGATAAGAAATAATCCTGCGGTTATCTCATCCTCATCGAATAAGGCTCTTTGTATAGAACTTTGTTTCTAATTCCACGTTAGACGATAGGAGCCATCTCCTATCCGACTTCTTAGCTATGACGAAACAGAAACTTTGTGATATTTCTATTACGGCACGAGAAGTTTCCTTGACTCTAGATAAAATGTTTATATCAAGAACCACAGTCTAGTTTATTTTTGCAGTCGGTTTCATCCAATGTAAGGCAAAAAAGCCACTAAGACACAAGGACTTACAGGGTGTAGAAGAATTAGTAACAGAAACATTAATAATGAGCGGGAAGAGGAAAGAGTAATCGGGAGGACAGTAGATAGCGATTGTCATTGCATCTAATTTTTTCAGATTAAAACTCTCTGAATAAAATGGAGCTGGAAGTGTGTTCCACGGACTTGAAGTGTGAGAAAAGAAACTGTTAGCATAGAACTTACGGCTACATCTCCCTAACTCAGTTGTAAATTGATGAGATCTCGATATCAGTCTAGTACTGCGCTTAAATTCAAAAAGTCTAGGTACCATAGCAAAGAGTTCATCCAAACAATTAACATAAAAGTATTTATAGAAAAAAACACAGGGAAGCAACCTTACGGTGGTGGGAAAGTGACCAAATCCGAGCTGCCAGATCAGGACCGATAATATTGCTGATTCTTCTTTGGATTTTATCAAGGAGCTCAAGGTAAATAGCAGGGCCACTGGACCATATGTTACAGCAATATTCTAAGTATAGACGAATGGTAGACTTATAGATACGTAAGATAGATTCTAGGGAAAAATTGTCTGGCGCGACACAGTGAGCCAACTTTCCCAATAGCTGACCTAGCAATGGATTCAATATAGTCTTTTCACTCCATGTCAGCTGAGAGCGTTAGCAATGAGTCATTTTCCCATCTAGGAAAAGTTGTTTAACCACTCCCTAAAGTATCAGCAGTTTTGTCATGTCTTCAAGAGTGCGGGGAGAGTTGACATATTAGCCACTTTGGTATCATCAGCAAAATCTTTGACCAGAGTTTAGCAGCTGATTTCTCTACTCTAGAAGCCCAATGGAGAAAAAATAGCTTTCAATGCATCAAAAACCAAACTAGTATCAAACTGACCCTAAATTCTCACCTGAGAATGACACGGCTGATCTAAAGTCATATATATATATGACCTATCACTAAAAACCCATAAAACAAATGCCCAGTACTTTATACCACTTTGAAAGTACCTGACTCCATCTGATATGCATTATCTTGACAAGGATTAGATTAAAACCAAAACGGGATATTGGTAGTATAGCTAACCAAAAGCTGTCCAAACCTCTCTCTCCAGCTTTGACGCGGCCTTGTGAGCGATAGATTATTTTCTACCCTAAAACTCCCTTTCCTACAGCTTATCGCTATTTCCATAGAAAATATTCAGCCAAGCTGTATTCCTTAGTTCCACCAGTTCATAACTTTACAAGTAGGACTTCCCATGCTACTCACACATTGTCGAATCATCTTCATCCTCTTCATATTCCATTGGTAAGGAGGAATGGCTTCTAAAATTGTTATTCTCCCGTGAGGCTGTTTCCCCGACCTTATACTGTTAACCTTTTCAAGTCTAGAGTCAACTGATCTCTGACCCACATACTCTACACTTCTTACTTTTCTACAAAGACCTTTACCTTGAGTAACTCTTCGGTAAACAAAGGTATGAAAAACATCTAATAAATAGGAATTATTTATTAATAGTCTTTATGAAGCTTAGAATCAAACTCTGCACTATCGTCGAATTAAGTAATGGCGAAATAAACCTGAACAAGTTTGTCTATCTAATTATTAACTTCTCCCACGAACGTAACGTCTCAAGTTTCTCGCTACTCTATCGCTATTTCAATGGAATATGTTCTGATGGACTATATTCCTTAGTTCAACCAGTTCAGGCCTTCACATCTAAGACTCGCCTTGCCACGTTCCCAGACTGTGCCTTCCAAAGTGTTGCTAAATTATGGAATACACTCCTGAGGGGATGCTTCCATACTTGCTATCAAACGATACTTATCCTACACATCACCATGATCTCCATTTACTTTCTTCTCCTACGTCAATACAACAATCTTATTTATTAAACCTCTACCCTGATGGGCTCTTGCTCCTTGTATTACGTGAAAATTTTGTAAAAAAATAGGTAAAGGCATGAAACTGTCTCGTCTCTTCCTCGCTATGGCTTAAATTTCTTGTCCTTTGTAGCCCTTAATAAATTTTGTCTTTTCCCTATAAATTCTAATGTCTGTTTTGCCAACCATTTACACAATCTCGTTAGCTAGGTTAGGCACTGTTTTCCTTTGTTCCTTCATTAAGTCCTGTGAGTATCAATTTTTCTAGGCTTTCTTTCCTCATTATGTGCCCTAGAAATCTCTTTCTGATGTTAATTATAAGTGTTCTTTTGTTTCAAATTTCTCTAAAGCTTTGTCATTGTTCATTCGTTCAGTTCATATTATTCTCAGCATCATCCTTTCGTAAAACGATATTTCTATGGCCTCAAGTCTTTTTTTTTTTTTATCTTTGATTAGATTGTCTTGCATTCACTGCCATATAGGAGGACAGATATTACAAAACAGTTAAGTATTTTTTTAAATTTGTTTCGAACTAGATTTTCCTATTTTTTAATACTTTGCTTAGCTTTTGAAAAGCAACTTTCGCGTCTTAACCTTACGAATACCATGGCCGAAACATGTGTACAACAAGGAAGTGTTAAGAAAGATACAAACAAAAAGGACACTTAATGCTTAGAATCAGAAAGAAACAGTTAACATTTATGGGATGCATAATGAGGAAAAAGGACTTGGAGAATTTGACATGCAGAAGACATATTGACATCATGAGGAACAGAAGCAGTACACAAACCACCTAAAGAGTTTGCGTAAATAATAGGGACACAAATATTGCTTAGAACTATAAAGGATAGGAAGTCTCTCATTAGGAGGAGCATAAAACGAGCAATTACCTGGGTCAAGAACTTTTCAGTCTTATTTGTAAATTTCATTTTACTGATTTTACTGACTCCTAATAAACACGAATTGAAAACACGAACATTTGCTTTTGCTTTGTCAAAAAGATTTCGAAGGGATAAAATGTGCGCGATTTTTGAGAGGAGGAATGAGGTCTGGGAATAATGGAAAAGAAATGAATGAAGAACTTGAAACATGAAAAAAGAAGAGAGGATTTGAATAGAAAGAATAGGTAGAAAGAATTGGACGGAAAATCGCGTCAAATCCCCCAAAAGGGGACGACATGAATTTTCTTTTAAAAAGGCCACTGAAACAAACATGAATAATCTGCTTTTTAATTGTCAAAAGAAAGAAAGAAAGAAAAAAAGAAAGAAAGAAAACAGACTTAGACGTATTTAAAAGTGGAAAGTGAATTAAGAAAGAAATAAAGCTTATTAAAAAAAGAAAGAAAGAAAAAAGAAAGAAAGAAAAAAGAAAAAAGAAAAGAAAGAAAGAAAAAAGAAAACGAATTAAAAAAAAGAAAAAAGAAAAGAAAGAAAGAAACTTAATTCAAAGAAAGAACGAAAACCAGTAAAACGATTTCAAAGAAAAAAAAAGGAATACGAAAATTAAATTAAAACGAGATTGGAAGAACGAAAGAGAAAACTAATTCAAAGAAAAAATGGATTAAAAGAAGGAAAGCAAAAAAGAAAGGAACGTATTTCAACGAAAGAATAAAGAAAAAAGAAACTAAAAGATTCAAAGAAAGAAAAAACGAATTCAAAGAAAAAAAGAAAGAAAATTAAAGAAAGAAAAAAGATACGAAAAAGAAAGTAAGAAAAAAAAATACTATGAAAAAAAGAAAACCCGTTCAAAGAAAGCCAGACTGGAGAATTATGAAGAATTATCAAAAAATTCTAAGAAAAACTTTCCGAAGGACGAAATAATATGGGGAAAAAGAAAAAGAACGAAAATGTTGAATCGAAAGAAAAAAAAGAAACGAATGTGTGAATTCTTTCGAGAGTGCCATCAGAATGTAGTCTTGTACTACAGAATCAGTCAAAGACGAAGACGAAAGAGTCGAACTGAAGAGTCAGAAATGGTGCACCATAATGCCAGTTTCTTGCACACACAACAAAATCGACAAGAACTAAAAAATGATTAACAATTTACTTGGTGGCGCTGTGTGAATGTCAAACGATAAAAATGTAAAGTTACTATAATTCCTCTTCCCACTCGCTGTTCTGACGGAATGGAATAGATGAAGCGTCAGTATGAAAACAGGTTCAATTCATTGCGCCATTGGAACAGGACAGAGACATGTTCTGCTTCCACTCTGGGCTTCTTTTTTTTGCCAATTTTCAAAGGAATTTCTGTTATCAGATTAACCGTTGGGGATTAATTAAAAAGGGAGTTTTTGTAATGATTTCTTTTTTTAAATAAAAAAAAAAGAATCACATTGTGAAGGAGCCAAGATCTTTTATTTTTTATTTTGTGAGTGAACGTTAAAAACTAAAATTTGCAATTGATTTTCTGCCAGTTTTGCAATCGGCAAACAAGTTTGCTATGGAATGGTTGCAGGGAAAAGTTTACTTGCAAAAATATTTTGCACCCTTCCGTTTTCTTATTTTTCTTTAGTTTATTTATTGGTGAGTCAATGGTTTTTATTTGTTGTTGAATTGACGTTGTTTATTTATTGGTATCTTCACAGTTGTTTATTAATGGGTTGATTGTCTTTATTGGTGAGAAAGCGCTGTTATTTGGTCACGAGGTGTTAATTATTTGTGGGTTGATGATGTTTATTTATTGATGGATGGACGTTTATTTATTTGATGGATGGACATTGTTTATTTATTGGAGGCTAGGCATGTTGTTATGTTGTTTATTTATTGGTTGGTGCATGTTTAGTTGGATATGTGGATAATACTAATGGGCATCGGTGTGAAAAGTAAACTCGGCGTCTCGGTTTCAAATTCCGATAGAATCGTATTCCGTCGTAAGTGATAAGTCATGAACCCACCTTCTCCCAGCTATATGTTAAATTGCAGAGTAGACTAATGCTTTGATAATTTATTTATTGGTGATCTGAGGTTGATTGATTGGTTAATTAAAGCTTATTTTTAATGATTTTTTATTAACGTTGAATGCTTTTATTAATGTACTGATGATGTTAGCCGGTAGGTTGATAGTTGGTGTTTAGTGTTTGCTTGCGTGGCTAATGACATCCAGGTTCGAATCTCACCATGGTCGCTTTGTCAAACAGGTGACTTCTTAATGTTACCGGTCTGGGGAGATGATCCCAATGACCGGTACCTTTGGAAAGGGTTGGGTTGATTCAAACCGTGTGTCGTTCAATTCGGTGGCCATAGATGGCTGTTTTGACTTAAAGTCACAAGTCATTGTGACCAAGGTTCGATGGACCGACATTGTTGAAATTATTGACAACGCTAGATAATGCGCTAGAACGTCCCACTCAACATAGTTACAGTAAACAACATGTAGGCCCTCTGCGTGTTATACAACAACATGTAGTCAATCTGCGTGTTATACAACAACATGTAGTCTATCTGCGTGTTATACAATCATAAATGTGTCTGGGCATGTAGCCAAAACTAGAACACCTGTGACGTTTGAATTGCTTTATTTTGTTTTACGGTATATCAACCTCAATGTGTTATTTAAGGCTCACAAGATTTTTAGGATAGGTTCATATGAATAGAATATGCATTCTTTATAAGAAATCAATTTCTAGATCAGGTTTCATTGAGGTATTTTGTAAAGAGGGGTTTTGACGATTGGGCTTGTAATATTTTTTTTTCAGAAATATATTGCTGGTAATATATTTTAATGTATAGTTCGTAATAATTTTTTAAATATATTGCTGGTAATATTTTTTTGTTCGAAAATGTATTGCTGGTAATATTATTTGTTGTACTGATGGTAATATTTTTTTCAAATATGTATTTTTACTATAAATATCTATTTTTACACTTTCATAGGGATTTGACCCCAATTTGGGAGTTAACTTTTGCCCATAGAACCTGAGAACAATAGCAACAAAGAGGTCGTTCCACGCAAATCAAAACCTCCTTGCTGCCGGATGTAGTTTATTTTCATACACAGGACTAACACGTGTCATTGTGTGTGTGTGTGTGTGTGTGTGTGTGTGTGTGTGTGTGTGTGTGTGTGTGTGTGTGTGTGTGTCATTGTGTGTGTGTGTGTGTGTGTTGTGTGTGTCATTGTGTGTGTGTGTGTGTGTGTGTGTGTGTGTGTGTGTCATTGTGTGTGTGTGTGTGTGTGTGTGTGTCATTGTGTGTGTCATTGTGTGTGTGTGTGTGTGTGTGTGTCATTGTGTGTGTGTGTGTGTGTGTCATTGTGTGTGTGTGTGTGTGTGTGTGTGTGTGTCATTGTGTGTGTCATTGTGTGTGTGTGTGTGTGTGTGTGTGTGTGTGTGTCATTGTGTGTGTGTGTGTGTGTGTGTGTCATTGTGTGTGTGTGTGTGTGTGTGTGTGTGTGTGTGTGTGTGTGTGTGTGTGTGTGTGTGTGTGGAGAAGGAGAGAGAGAGATAGAGAGTAATGGTCACAGGTATAGAAAACAAACGGTAATAGAACAACGACATCTGCAAAGAATAAGAACAGCGGCATTTGTAGATATTTACACGGACAGGACTTTATATACATTTATCTACTGAACGAGTGTAGCATAAAGAGAAAAGTTCGCTTATGAAATGTGTGTAAAGTGTATTCTCAATCAAGGCCAATAAGACACGAGGGGTTACTGGGTGTGGAAGAATTAGAAAACAAAAACATTACTAAGAGGCGAGAACAATAAAAGGGTAATCAGGAAGACAGCAGATAGCGATTAACATTGCATTTAAATTTTTGAGGATTAAAGTTGGCTAGAAGCATGGAGCCGGAATGAGTTTCACAACCGTAAAGTACAACAGAAGAAACTATTTGTATAGAACTTAGGGTTGCATCTATCCAGCTCAAATCTATATCGATAAGACCTCGTACTGCGCTTAAATTCATAAAGTCTAGCGAAGAGATCATCCGAACAATTACAGTGAAAGTATTTATAGAAAAGACACAGGGAGGCAACTTTATGGCGGTGGGAAAGTGACTGGAGCCGAGCTGCCAGATCAGGACCAATAATAATGCTGATTCTTCTTGGGATCTTATCAAGGAGCTCAAGGTGAAGGGGCACCGGATCATGTGTAGCAGCAATATTCTAAGCATGGATGAATGGTAGACTTATAGATATGTAAGATAGATTCTGGAGAGAAAAATTGTCTCACTTGATACAGAGAATCAACTTTCTTATCAGCTGACCTAGCAATGGATTCAATATAATCTTTCCAGTTAGTTTCTTTTCTAACCTTTTATTTAAATTAGTTTGGAAAGTCAACATCATGATTATATCATCATTTTCCTTTCTAGTTACAGATGCTATCCATTTTAGTTGTTGCTGCTGTTGGAAGCTTTCAAATGAAGTCGTTTTTTCTTGTTATTTATTAAAGTTCCTTGTGATTCTCTTGTGGTAGTCTGTCTATACGATCAGATGAATGGTTTTTCTATTTAAGAGCATGACTCGAATTCATGCCAACCTTAAAATGTTTCAACATGTGTTGAAAAAGTAGGTACAGTGTAACCCGGATATAAGAGACCCTGATATAAGAGAAACCCGGATATAAGAGAGATTTTCTCTGGTCCCAAATTAGAGCCTGTGTTAATGTAAACAAAATAGACCAAACCCGGATATAAGAAAATTCTTCTCCGCTCCCGACAACTCTCTTATATCCGGGTTACACTGTAAAAAGCAAGTCACCGAAATTATAACCGACCTTAACTCTTATATCTGCCGTTGTGCAGGTCCGCGAGAAAAGAGGCGGGAAAGTGTTTTTGAATTCGGCGCTGGTTACATGTTAATGTGGCCCGTAACTAGTGGAGTGCCTCGTGATTACATATCTAAGAGGAAATAACCTTTCAATTTTGCCACTCCACTTTTATTTATCCGTGTTTATATGTAGATGTATATTTTTTATCTTAATTTATCCGCTTGTGTATGTGAATAATACAATTTAATTAGTTAAACATTACATATATAAATTGGACGATTTGTGGGAATAATAAGTAACGCACATCGACCTACATAATAATATTTATTTTTCTATCTCTTAGATAGATAGATAGATAGAGATATATATACTCGCCTGAATCCATCCTGCACGTTTACAAGTCTACCATTCGGCTGTGCATTGAATATTGCTGCCACATAAATTGTTGCTCACGTATTTGGTCCAGAAGTATTGACAACACCTTTCTGTGGAACAACATTTCTGTTGCTGTGGGTCCCTTCTTCATCTGTGTGGAGATTGTGTAACATTCATTGCCATGTCTTTTGTATATAAATAATCCTTCCCACAGATTGTAACCAACAATTTGACATCAAATATGCTAAACCATGAAATGAAATTCTTCAGAATTTCACAGACATAATTAAACCGAATAATTTTTAATGACGGTTTAAGTGACGCACAAAAAAAAATGTGTTTCTTTCCACGCCATTCTTTGCGCAAGAATCAAAGAAAAAATTCGAAAGAACAAAATTCAAATGCATTCTCACAAACACGAATCGATTAGAAAACAAGAACTTTATTTTTAGTAAAGCGACCGGAATTAGATAATGTATAATATAATACAAATGGCTATTAATCAGTCAACATGTGTGTTAAGGCGCTTAATCCCAAAGACACAGATATCAATTTACAGACAAACGCTATTTTTTATCTTTTTCTTCTAAAGAGTAAAAGAAAAACCTCGAAAGAACAAAACTCAAATGCATTCTCACAAACACGAATCGAACATTTGTGTGAAGGCACTTAATACTTTCTTGGTTTTTGAAGCGTGTCCTTTTATGATGTGTATTATCATGGCTCTCTCCAACTCTTCGTAACTCTTAGCAACCTTTCTTTCCTTGTTCTGCTATCCATTTGCACAATTTAAACGTTGCTTTCCTCTATCCCTCTCG